GTGAGCCACCGCGCCCGGCCCCTCTGCACTATTTTAGATTTTCTGCATATACAATCATGTCATTTGGGTAAAATGGCAGTGTCATTGATTCCTTTCCAAATGTTATACCTGTCATCTCTTTTTCTTGCCTTATTGCACAGGTAGGACCTTAGCGCAGTGCTGATTAGAAGTAGTGAGAGTGACATCTTCATCTCACCCTCAGTCTCAGAAGGAAAGACTCTTGCCTTTTAAGAACATCAAAGGACCCACAGTCACTTTATTCAAAGTACACGAAGATCTATTCAGGGTCTACATTGCATATAATTTTTACTGTGAATCTTTAAGAGGATGTTTACCCTAATTTCTTTTTGTTTTTAAAATCATTGTTCATGTTGATTGTCTATATTTTGTCAAACCTTTGGAGGCGATATATTTCCAGGCTATTTAGGAGTTTGCTAAGGCTTCCGTAACAAAGTACCACAGACGATGGCTCAGATGACAGAAATGTATTTTCTCAGAGTTCCGGGGGCTGGAAGTCTGAGATCCAGGTGTCGGCAGGGCTAGTTTCTTCGCGGCCTCTCTCCTTGGCTAGTGGATGGCGTCTTCTCCCTGTGTCTCCACGTGCTTGTCCCTCTGCGTGTGTCCGTGTCGTAATCTCCGCTTCTTATCAAGATACCATTCAGATTGGATTAAAGCCCACTGTAATGACCTCATTTTAACTTAATTCCCTCTTTAAAGACTATCTCCAAATACAGTCACATTCGGAGGTGCTGGAGGTCGGGACTTCAGCGTGTGAATCGGAGGCGATGGGGACACAGTTCAGCCCGCAACAGGCTGCAGACATTTTTATAGGTCCTTGGTCCTGCAGAGAGGTTATCCGGGGCACAGCCACAGTCAGCGACATGTTCCCCGGACACACTCACCCTTTGTCACCCACAATCGCTTAGATGTTGGCCACACTCAATATCGTTAGAGGAACACAATGCCCTGTGCAGAATTCGGGCACCACAGAGAGGCAGAGGGGGTGTGGCAGCCTCAGCTTCCTTTCCTCTCAGCCCTGTTTGGGCCATCCTGGGCCTGGCCACCTAGGCTGGTGCAGAAGGCCTGAGCCCTCGGAGGTTGAGCGGGAGAGAGCATCGGGGCCACTGTCTCCTGCACCACCCCTGCCCCACCCACCCCACCTGTGTGCCTGCCTGGCCCCACGCAGCGGGATGGCCGAGTTGGCACCTAATGAGTCTTTGGTCGTGGGACCCCAGATTCTACCCAGGACCCCATACTCCTTTGGCAGCCCCCTCATGCAAAACCCATCCGGAGAATGGGGTTTGGGGCCCGTGCTTCAGGAATGCATACATAACACCCACCCACCCAAACACTCACACGTGCTTATGCACACATGCGCACATGCATGCGCACACATGCACGCACAAGCACACATACATGTGCCCACGTATACACATGCACATAAATGCATGTACCAGCACACACATAAATGAACACATGCACACACGCATACAAACACACACAAGCACACGTACAGAGATGCACACACACGCACACACACACACAGTCGAGCGCAGAGAACGAAGCAGTGCTCGTGCCTGGGTAGATCAGAGGCTGCTCTGGGGGACGAAGGGGGCCCCCTGGGGGACTCGCACAGGGCAAGTTGCTTCATTGCCTCGGTTGCCCAATCTGTAGAAGGGGGGGCGACCTTAGAGACGTGCCTCCCGGGAGCCGGTGTGTGCGGAGCCAGCAGGGGCCGGGTGCCGGGGAGCCACCGGGTCCCTCCTGGTGCCATCGCCCTGTGCTGCCAGCCCCGGCTGCTCCCTCAGGCTGGGGTCTGCGCCTCCCCCTGGACATCAGTGCGGGACGGGACGGGGACACGTTAGCGATGTGTGGGGCGGCCAGGTCAGGAACGGAGGCAGCAGGGAGGGGCCATGTGTCTCAGGAAGGGCCGCGGGGGCCGCGGAGGGGCCCGGGGAGGGCAGCCCTGCTCCGACAGGCTGCCCTGACGCCCCGTCCGTCCCTCCCCAGCACCACGCCAGCCTGATCATGAGTCAGGACCCCTATAAGGTGACGGCGTTCGAGAAGCGCTACGCCGTGGCCGTGCAGTGGCTGTGGAGGGACGCGGGCATCCGGGCCTGCTACGAGCGCCGGCGCGAGTTCCACCTGCTGGACTCGGCGGTGTAGTGAGTCGCGGGGGCCGGGCCGGGCGCGGGGGCCGGGCTGGCCAGCTGCAGGACGGGCCCCGCTGTGGGGCGCTGTTCTTCCTGGGGGGACCCTGTTCCTGAGGTCACGCCGGGGTGATTTGACAGCTGGGAGGCTGTTCCCAGGCTGTCACCATTCCTGGGGCAAGTCCACCCCCGGCTGAAAAGTCTCCCGAGGTGACACCATTTCCCACGGGGGCCGTTCGTGACATCACACCTTCCTTGGGGTCCTGCTGCTCTGAGTGCAGCCGCTTCCCCTCAGCTCTCTGCCGCCTCAGGGGGGTGCTCCTGGGCCCCCCTGCAAACCCCAGAGACCTGGCCCCTCCCAGGGAGCTCTCAGCAGGATCCTCGCTGGGCCCCGAGTAGGCGTCTGCGAAGCAAAGGGAGTCTGGCCGCAAGGCCGGGCTCAGGACTCCTCGCCCCACAGCTACCTGTCCCACCTGGAGCGCATCACCGAGGAGGGCTACGTCCCCACGGCGCAGGACGTGCTGCGTAGCCGCATGCCCACCACCGGCATCAACGAGTACTGCTTCTCCGTGCAGAAAACCAATCTCCGGTGAGTGAGGGCTCAGCGGGCCTGGATGGGGGGGAGGGGTGGGGAAGGCTTCCTGTAGGAGGGGCAGAGGAGTAGGAGTTTCTTAGGCCTGGGAACTGGAGGAGCACAGAGTGAGGCGCCACAGCTCCAGGAGGGGAGATCTTCCTGGACAGGGGGCCGTGGGTGTTGGGGTGTTGAAGGATGAATAGGAGTTCACTAGTCCCAAACCTTGAGGGACTGCTGGGGAGGAGGAAATAGAGATTGTGTGGTCAGGGCTAGGCTAGAGGGATGCATTTGGCATAGGGGGTGCTCAGGGGGTCATTCCTGTGGTGGTTAGTTTCAGGGCGGGAGGTGCTGGATGTAGGAGACTCAGGAAGAAGCAGGAGCCATGGGCCAGGCAGGAGGGGCTGGCAAGGGCCAGGACGGTGGCTGTGGGGCTACAAGTGAAGGGACAGTGCAAGAATTGTTTCTGGGGTGCACTGGGCGGGACGGGGTGAGAGTGGGGTCAGAATGGAAGGTCCAAAATGACTCCCAAGTCTCTCGTCGAGGCCACGGGCAGACGTTGGAGCTGTGGGCTGGGGGCGGTGAGACGATGCAGTGCTTTGGGGCAGGCCGAGTCCGAGGGCCGGGGGCAGTGGCGGGTGGCCAGGTGCACACAGGCCCAAGTGGAAGACAGCAGGCAGCCAGTGCAGCAAGGAGTCATCTGACAGAGCGGTGGCCAGTGTCAAAAGTCAAAAAGAGGTCAAGAAGACTACAGGAAGGGAAGGGACTCAGGTTGGCAGTTACGGGGTCATCGGTGACCTTAGCAAGCTCCCTTCCCGTGGGCTGGTGGCAGGGAGCTGAGGAGGGGTGCAACGGGGTGCCCAGAGACAGGGACTGTGTTCAGCCCACCCCTGCCGGGTCCCTCCTTTCCCTGGGTCCCCCAAACGTGCTGCTCTGGCCTCCGCAATAGCCCTAACCAGG